CCCTGCTACACTGTTCCTCAAAGTGTTTGGATGTGTTCAGGAAACTTCTGAGCTTTTGGTTTAGTCCAGCGGTACTGATGTCCCCTGTATTATGTGATGTACTTCCCTTCACTTAAGACAATTCTTATCTACTATCTAGTTAGTAAATTCCCCTCTCCCTGCCTCTCCACCCTTGTAACTATCAAAGAATATTTTCTTCTGCGTTTAAACCTTTTCTTGGGTTCTTATAGTGGTCTCATACAGTATTTGTCCTTTTGTGACTGACTAATTTCACTCAGCATAATGCCTTCCAGATTCATCCATGTTATGAGATGTTTCACAGATTCATCTTTGTTCTTTATCCTTGTGTAGTATTCCATTGTGTGAATATACCATAATTTGTTTATCCATTCGTCCATTGATGGGCACCTAGGTTGTTTCCATCTTTTTGCTGTTGTGAACAGTGCTGCAAAGAACATGGGTGTGCATATATCTATTTGTGTGACGGCTCTTATTTCTCTAGGATATATACCTAGGAGTGGGATTGCTGGATCATATAGTATTTCTATTTCTAGCTTTTTAAGGAAGCACCAAATTGATTTCCAAAGTGGTTGTACCATTTTACATTCCCACCAGCAGTGTATAAATGATTGAGTCTCTCCACAACCTGTCCAGCATTTATTATTTTGTGTTTTTTGGATTAATGCGAGACTTGTTGGGGTGAGATGGTATCTCATTGTAGTTTTGATCTGCATTTCTCTAATGAGCAGCCAAGTCTTAACCACTTCGCCACCAGACCCGGGTTCAATTCCTGGCCAGTGCACCTCATGCACAGCCACCACCTGTCTGTCAATGGAGGCTTTCCTGTTGCTATGATGCTGAAAAGGTTTCCAGAAGCTTCCAGTCTAAGACAGACTAGGAATAAACGCCTGGCGATCTACTTCTGAAAAATCAGCCAATGAAATCTCTATGGATCATAATGGTCTGATCTGATTGTGCATGGGGTTGCCATGAGTCGGGAACCAACTCGACGGCATCTAACAACAAAGAGGGACACTGGGGGATCAGGGGCAAGTTTCTTTGAGGATAGGAGAGATGATGAGGGCTTGAGCAGGAGCAGAACCTGCAAGGATAGAGAGGATGGGGCAGATTTGAGATACTAGAGGGAAACAGGGAAGGGTTGGTTCGTTTTTAGAGTGCAGGAAGTTGAGGTAGTGTGAGCTTGGTGGTCTTAATTTTGTTGGTAAAGTAGGAGGTAAGAGCATCTTGTGAGAGAGAAGGGATCATGGAGTTTCAGGAAAGTGGTAAAAGTTTGGAATGGTCAATGAGGGCAATGGGAAGGGAGCCAATCAAGGCCAACTAAAGGGACTATCATGTTGCTTCAAAGGCCCATTTGAGGTTAGAGGCCATGAATGGTGTCAAGACCTATAGTTTGTTGATTGCTTCTAGCCAACTTCAGCAGCAGTGGTATGGGACAGAGAAAGAAACTCCTGGAATTTATCCAGGACAGGGATTTTGCTGAATAAGTAGGGAGGAAAGACATATGCAATGGAGATGAGGGTGTTGATACATGAATGGTTCAGGTGATCAATCACGGGGTTCAGCCTGGGCAAAGGAGAAGACAAGGCCAGGAAGAGGCTGATATCCTGTGAGATAATGGAGATGTCGAGGCACCAAAAGACTCTATGGGGTGAAAGATCAGGTTTAGAAGAATTGAAGGCAAAAAGAACCGGAAAGATGTGAGTTTATGGTCAGATAGTGGGGTGTAATTTAGGATTTCTTGGGTGGAACTGGTCTGGCTGATGATCAGATGTGTAGGTGGCTGAAGTGGGTGGAGCTTCTGAAGGTTGCTAAAGCTTCAGTGGCGTCACTAGGGTTGGTGTCACCCAGTGCAGTAACTCATGGTGTCCACCCTCCCCATGCTAATTATCACAATATTGTAGCCAAAACACCAGAAAATTTGACAAAATCACTGGCTATAAAAACACCTGGCAGCAACTAAAGCAACAGTGCCTTGGAGCACGTGCAGAGGAACCCACATGATTCAAAGCGTCATTGTAATTGGGTAGTAATGACAGCTCTAACCTGAGTGCATTAGAAGGTTCAAAATGTAAATTAGCACAGTTTTAGCCTTGTAGGTATATTGATACATGTATGCTGGGCTTATGAAAAAATTTTTGTTGGTATAACTAACTACAGGGATATTTTTATTAAAAATAATAAATTTCTACGGAAACACTGCCCAAAAAATGTATACATAGTCCTTCTGGTGTCACCCCCTATGACAGTATCATTCTGTGCAGTCCGCACCCCTTGCACCCCCGCAGTGATGCCACTGGGGATTCATCTCCCAAACTCATTCCTGATTCTTCAGGAATTTTCTAAGGATCTCTGCAAACAAGAGATTCTTTGATGCCATTACCCTCCAGAACAATGTTTGGCTCAGTTGGATCAAAGGAAGAAAGAAAGAACTATATTTTTAGATTGTTCTCTGGAGCTCCAGAGATGCCCTGCACCTGGCTCTCCCCTATGTGTGCAGCTCTCAGAATCTGGGATTTTGTGATACTTTTTAAAACATGATTTCCCCCTTCTCTGTGAGGGGGATCTTTCAGAAAGGCTCAGGGTGGGGCCTGGTGCAGGTGGGAGGCATTGGCTGGGCCCAGCTCCTCCTTTGATCATGTTCCCTTCTGGCAGTAGTATCTGAACACTTACTGACCCAGGTCCAGATAATGAACCTCTTCTGACCCAAAGGGCAGACGCCCCTCAGATGGAGAGTTAGCGGATACACAAGGGAGATGAAGACAGAAGCAAGGCTGAAGCTAAGCTGACCTAGTTAGAGCGGAAAGAGGCTGTAGGGGTGGCGGGAATAGCTCCGGTGGGGAAGGGTGGGCAGGAGTGATAGCAGCTGCCCCGGGGAGCCCAAGACAGGTAGGAGCAGAGGGCTGCTTGTTTAAGAAGCCCTGGCAGTACTTGGAGGCCACAGGCGGGCTGTGCACGGAGATTGAGGAGCTGAGGTATGCGCGTGCATGTGCATTTGCCTGAATACTTAGATTCTAAAGTCACAAGCTTGGAGGAAATGTTAGCTGCTGTGGAGTCAGTCCCAACTCACGGTGACCCCATGCACAACAGAAGGAAACACTGCCAGGTCCTGTGCCATCCCCATGATGGGTTGCGGATCAGTGGACCTTTGTGATCCACAGCATTTTCCCTGGCTGATTTTCAGAAATAGATCACAAAGCCTTTCCTCCTAGTTCATCTTCGTCTGGAAGTTCCGCTGAAACCTGTTGAGCATCCTAGAAACGTGCAAGCCTCTACTGACAGATGAGTGGTGGCTGTGCATGAGGTGTATTGGCTGAGAATCGAACCCGGGTCTCTTGCATGGAAGGAGAGAAAAATATCTGGACATTAAGAGCCGAGTAGGGAGTTCCCCTAAACCCAGGGAGACTGAGCAAAACCCAGAGCAAGATTCTCCAGCAGTATGAAGGAGAGGTCGAGACCATTACTGTGTGCCCAGTTGGCATACTAGGCACTGTGGGGGGAGATACAGAAAGGAAAGACACGGCCCCGCCTGGAAGAGTTTATCAGCCAACAGGGAGACAGATCCTGCTGGAGAGATCAACACTGGGTTGGGGCACCTTGGTGCATAGGGAAGTGCCACTGGCACTCTTTGCCTTTCAGGAAGATACAGTTTATTGTGAGGTAATCCTAATCCTTGTGAGGCAGCTGTGAGCAATCCAATACCATATTTTGCTTTCCTTTTTTTAAATAATTAATTGTATTTTTGTTGTTTTTAAGAATATACACAGGCAAACATACACCAGTTCAACAGTTTCTGTATGTACCATTCAGTGACATTGATTACATTCTTCAAGCTTTGCAACCATTCTCACCTTCTTTTTCTGAGTTGTTTCTCCCCCATTAACATAAACTCACTGCCTACTAAGGTTCCTATTTCATCTTTCCAGTTGTTTGTTGTCAATTTGATCCCATATAGATAGATCTTAAAAGAGCATAATGTTTGTCTTAGGCTGGATTCTTTAGAGGGGCAAAACCAGTGAAGCATATATATGTATCTGCAGGGGCTGACGAATCCAAGATCAGCAGGTAAAATGGCAGGCTGCTGGCTCACAGGCTGTGGAGGCCAACAAATACCAAGATCGGCAGGCAGTATGGCAGGCCGTTGGCTCAAGTCCCAAGAACCAGAGGTCAGATGATGATGCAGGATTCAGAGCAAGCAAGCAAGCTTTGCTAGAACATCCATATATATTGGATGCAGGCCACATCCCCAAGGAAACTTCCCTTACAACTGATTGGTTGATCACATCAGATCACATCATGGAGAATGACTACATCATTACATAACTGCCCAATTATATTATTACATAACTACCAAACCACTATGAATCATGGCCCGACCAAGTTGAACACACAACTTTAACCATCACAATGCTCAAGGAATACATTCTTTACTAGTTGAGCTAAACTATTGTTTGGTTTTAAGAAGACCTCAGGGGATATTTTTGGTTTAAGGTTTAAAGATTATCTCAGGGCAATAGTTTCAGGAGTTCATACAGTCTCCATGGCTCTAGAAATTCTGGATTCTATGAGAATTTGAAATTCTGGTCTGCATTTTCCCTCTTTTGATTTGGATTCTTCTATAGAATCTATGATCACAATGTCAATACCATATTTCTCAATGCTCCTGGGTCACAGAAGGGATTTCTGGAATAACTGGGGAAGGCTGTGTGGAGGAGGTAGGCATTAAACTGAGCCCCTAGGTCTAGGAGGGCAGGATGGGAATGAGGAGAGAAATCCGACATTGCAGAGTGATGATGCACAGACGGCCATAAGTTTGGCTCATGTGAGGACATGACAGGATTGGAGGGCCACTGAGGGGAGATGGAGATATCTAGCTGAATGGGGAGGGCCAGATTACGAAGGGCATTTTCAACATCCAAAAAGGATGGGTCAAAAACCAGATATTCGAAGTGGTCCAGCCATTTCCTTCCTTGCCCCTTTAGCTACAAGCCCATCGTAGAATTCATCGATGCCCAGTTTGAGGCCTACCTGCAGGAGGAGCTGAAGATCCGCAGAGTGCTGCACACCTACCACGACTCCCGCATCCATGCCTGCTTGTACTTCATCGCCCCCACTGGTCATTCCCTGAAGTCTCTGGACCTAGTGACGATGAAGAAGCTGGACAGTAAGGTACAGAGGTGGAGGTGGGGGTGGGGAGTGTGGGAGGCTGGGCAAGCAGGCCTCACTCTTACTGCGCTTTTGTAAGTGATGCTTGGTTCTAGGAGAGTTTCTGTGGCATCCTCATCCTCTCCATCATTCCCTAGCCCTCCATAAAGATGATGTCATCGATCTAGTACCTGCAGCATATGCTTTGTGATCTGTTTTCCTAGTGCTAGGAGTGGGTTTGCCCTGAGCTATCTTTCTGCCCTGATGCCTCTTGGGAATAAAAGTGTATGCAAGCAAGATGGCTGTCTAGGTCTAGAGGTGCAGGCTGTAGTAACAGAAAAGTGTTTTTTCTTTGTCCCAATATTAACTGGCCTGTACTAGAATCCAGGTCCTTAGGTGGTACAAATGGTTTGCGCTGGACTACTAACCTAAACAAGTCCTGGTGGTGCAGCGGTTAAACGCTTGGCTGCTAATCGAAAGGCTGATAGTTCAAACCCACCAGCTGTTCCATAGGAGAAAGATGTGGCAGTCTTTTTCTGTAAAAATTACAGCCTTGGAAATCCTATGGGGCATTTCCACTCTGTCTTATAAGGTTGCTATGAGTCAGAATCGACTCGACAGCAATGGGTTTGGTTTGGGGTTTTTACTAACCTAAAGGTTGGTACCCAGTGGTACCATGGAAGGAAGGCCTGGTGATCTACTTCCCTTAAGATTACAGCCACGAAAACCCTATGGAACAGTTCTACTCTGTAACACATGGGGTCCCCATAAATTGGAATTGACTACATGGCAATGGGTTCATTTTTTTGTTTTTGGGCTAGAATCAAACATGCAAACTTGACTTTGAAAGTTGTTAGTCTTATTATCAATAACATTTTTATAATTAACAGCTAATATTTGTTAAACTTTCAATATACACCAGCACCGTGCTAAGTATCTTGAGGAATATGTCACTGAACCCTCACAACAACCTTGCGAGGTAAACACTATCGTTATCCCCATTTTACAGAAGAGAAAACGGAGGCTCTAAGAGTTAAGGGACTTCTCCATGGTCATATAGCTAGCTGCTGGCAGAGCCTAGATTCAAGCCCAGATCCATGGTACCATGTTACATTGCCTCTATACCCAAGAAAGATGGCTGTGAGAATCACGCATAGCTTGCTTTAAGAGAAACTAAAAAATGCAAATCCACACCATATATAAATCAGACATGGATTCTTCATGTTAAAGGATTATTTGCTGTACAAAAGAATTGACCCCAGGATTCTTTAAAAAGCTTAATTACAAGCATGCAAATCTTTTCCCCTAACGTTTAGTTTATGCTTGGCACTGTGATGAACACTTTATATGCATTATTTTATGTCATCCTGCCTTAGTTTCCTAGGGCTGCCATAACAAAGTACCACAACAGAAATTTATTCTCTCACAGTTCTGGAGACTAGAAGTCTGAAATCAAGGTGTCAGCAGGGCCATGCTCTCTCCTAAGGCTCTAGGGAAGGGTCCTTCCTTGCCTCTTCCCTAGGTTCTGGTGGTTACCTGCAATCCTTGGCCGTCCTTGCTTTGTAAAGCATCATTTCAATCTCCGCCTCTGTTGTCACATGGTGTTCTCCCTGTATATCTGTGTGACCAGACTTCCTTGTCCTGATAAGGATACCAGTCACTGGTGTTGGGCCCACTCTAAGCCAGTATAAGCTCATTTTAACTTGATTACATCTGCAAAGACCCTATCTCTGGGGGTTAGTGCTTGAACATGTCTTTCTGAGGGACACAGTGCAATCCACAACACATCCTCCCAACAATCCCTTGTGGAGGATACAGTTACTGTTTCATATTATTATTCCCATTTCGCATGTGAGGAAACTGAGGCTGGGGCTAGGGTTTGAACCTAGGCCTCTCTAGTTCCAGGGTATTTTATTTTACAAAAAATTTAATTTATATTCAGTTATTTACTAGCACATCCACTCTAATGGTATTTAAGCAATAATAAAAACAGGAGCAAGTTTTCATTTTTCCCAGCAATGAGCTCACTGCCCATGTATAAGAGGCTGCTCTTGAAATGTTGCCATGCCCTGCCTGCTCCATATAGAGCGGCAGTGAGCCATGAGGATGGCAGCCTGGTGAGCAGGCTGGGTTAAGTAAGCAGCATTTGACATATGTTCGTGACGTACAGATGGGGATGTGGTAAAAAGCAACAAGGAGAATTTGCTCTACTGACTGTACCACCTTGGCAAGGGCTTTGCCCTCCCCAAAGACTTCAAGGGAGGCGCCTCCAAGGTCCGATCTTCCCTTGACCCAGCACCTGTTGCCCTGTGTGAACCAGCCTTTAGAGCTTGTCTTGGTCTCTTAGTGCTGCTATAACGGAAATACCACAAGTGGGTGGCTTTAACAAAGAGAAGTTTATTTTCACACAGTTTAGTAGGCTAGAAGCACCAGCTATAGGGGAGGCTCTCTCTTTCTGTCAGCTCATGGGGGAGATCCTTGTCTCCGCTTCTGCCGTCCCGGCATTCCTCTGTTCCTCAGTGAACTTCACGTGATATCCATCTTCCCCAGTTTGTACTTCCTTGCCTCTGTGTCTGTGCTGCTCCTTATAACTCAGAAGTGATTAGGTTTTGGATACACCCTACACTAATATGACCTCATATGCATAATAAAGAAAGCCCTCTTTCCAAGCAGGATTACATCCACTGGTATAGGGATTGGGAATCCAACACATATTTTGGGGAGAGACACTTCAGTCCATAATGGAGCCTAAGCCAAAGTGTGAAGAAGGCAAGGTTTGTCTTCCAAGTCTGGAGCTCCCAGACTCCCCTTTCAGAGCCCAGGGCCTGAGCCCCATTCATGCTACCCTATTGGAATTTGCTGGGAGAAATGACTGTGCTCTCCCTGGGAACCCAAGCTTGGGTGTGCTCTATCTCACAAAGGCATGTGCACTTCAAGTTTGCTCACCTTCTGGCAGTAAAGACCTTGTCCTTTCTTGGAGAAATGTCAAAGATCAGCGTTCAGGTGGGTGGGACTTTGGGGTGGCACTAGGCCTTTCTCTTGCTCTCTGAAATTGGGCATTTATGCAGTGAAACCTGTGACAGCTGGAGCTCGATGGGACTGCCTCATTTTTCCAGGCTTCGCAAGTTTTCTGCCTTTCACAGGGTACAGTCTTACTACTTTTCTATCCCTCTGTATTAGTGGAAAATATTTCAGTTTTCTTTCTCTGACAGGTTTCGGCCTTACACAGGTTCCAGCTTTCGCAAGTTTTACTGTACCTGCTTTCTTTACCCAGGAATTAGTAGTGAGTCAGGCAGTATAACTCTTTTTTGTATACGTCTCAGGGTAGATTGCTAACTGAGAGTCTCCTTCACCTCACCAGGTTGGTTAACCAGTGTTTGTCACCAGAAAGAGAGCCAGGTGTGCACTGTCACTGAACACTGTCCCTGCTTCCCTTCCCTGCCACCTCCCTTGTGAGTCCAGAGAATACCTGACTGGGACTAGCCTGGACTGGATGGGCTGGGGCAGTTTACTGTTAGTGAAGAGCAGCCACCTCTTCCCTTGTCAACCAAAGGTTCCCAGCTGTCATCTTTCTGCTTCCTATCACCCAAGCAGTGACCTTGATATCTTGTCATAGCTCCTCAGTTTGGATCTGAGCCGGTAGACAACATCAAGATTGAGACTATGGGCTTAGGAATAAGGCTGAACTTGTATTTGAATTCCAATTCTGCTGCTTAACCTCTCTATGCCTCAATTTCTCATTGGCAAAATAGTGGTAAATAATACCTCCTGGGAGGGTTATTGTCAGAATTAATTGCATTAATCCATCGAAAGCACTTAGTTTAGTGCCCAGTGCATAATAAGCACTCAATGTTATTTATTATATTGCTATTTGGCTATGGAGGTGGCCCAGTCCTAGATCATTGGGTTGAGCTGTTTCCACTGGCAACTGATGGAAGTCCTAGGTCATGTTGCTTTCAGGTGCAGGTTGTCAACACTGACCCCACGTTGCTCTTCCTTTCCCTAGGTGAACATCATCCCCATCATTGCCAAATCCGATGCCATTTCTAAGAGTGAGCTAACAAAGTTCAAAATCAAAATCACCAGCGAGCTTGTCAGCAATGGGGTCCAGATCTACCAATTCCCTACAGATGACGAGTCAGTGGCAGAGATCAACGGAACCATGAACGTGAGTAGGAGCATGGGGTTCAACTTTCTGCCATTTGATCTTCATTAGTATTGTTGTTTACAAAATAGCAGTAAAACATCTTCACCATCCATCTCATGTGTAGTCAACTCTTGATTGTCTGAGTCTCAAGTATTTGTGAGAGAGAATCCAGAACCCAAACTGTTCCTCCCTCCTAGCTGTGACTGCTGCAAAGCCCCAGAGATGCAGAGATTAATAACAGGAAACAGAGGGAAAGGGAAAGGCTGACTACAGAAAGAGCCAGGAGCAGGGAATCCAGACCTCTCTTGCCACCCACCTCTTTGATGTTACTCTGGTCTGGGCCAGGCAGCCCCCATGAGACTGCCGGAAAGGCAAAAGACCTTTGCCTCTCACCAAAACAATGCTGAGACAGTTGAGGCAGCAAAAGAAGGAAAGGCTGAAAAAGTTGACTGCTTCAGAAACTCAGGGATCATCTGTACTCAGATAATCAAGCTCTCTGCCTCTGGGAGGAAAAATCATCTATTATCAAGCTCTCTGCCTCTGGGAGGAAAAATCATCTATAGTCTCCAATTTTGCTGATGACTAGGGAGATGCTATTTTTAAATTTCAGGGTTATGCTTTGCTTTATAAAGTGTGAATGAATAATAATAATAAAAAAACCAACTTGTCATCTTCTCTCTCCTTCCTGCTATGAGAGGAATGAGTAATGAAGACAGCAGAGAGGCAAACATCTCCTCATGCTTCTTTACAATGTGTTGATGCTCTTGCTGTGAAATCTTCAATGTTGTGATTTCAAGGAGACAGCTAATAGCTTTCCAAAAGCCTCTGCTTTGGGAACAGATTTATTTTTCTCTATTGAGAGGCATCAGTTTTTCCTAATGACATAATGCCTGGGTATAGCCAAACTCCAGAAAGCCTGGTAATAAAAGCCATTTTTAGAAAACTTTCCTGCTGCCGCTGCCCTCTAAATTATCATTAGAGAATCAGCTGCCATCTCCTATGAATTGGCCAACAAATTAGCATAGCGGGGCGGCCAGTCATTGTCTCGCCTGATTTCCTGTCCATCGGTACACCCAAGATCCAAGCCCAAGCCCCTTGCCATCAAGTCAATTCCGACTCATAGTGAGCCTATAGGACAGAGTAGAACTGCCCCAGAGGGTTTCCAAGGCCAAGATATGTTTGTTATTAAAAGTCTGTCATCGTCTTGGACAAATCTGGCCCCAAGACCAAAAACCCGTTGCTGTCGAGTCGATTCCGACTCATAGCGACCCTAAAGGACAGAGTAGAACTACCCCATAGGGTTTCCAAGGAGCACCTGGTGGATTTAAATTGCCAAGCTTTTGGTTAGCAGCGGTAGCTCTTAACACTATGTCACCAGGGTTTCCATCTGGCCCAAGGGGAAGCCTATGTGGATTGTAGTATGTAGGATTGTACCTTCTTTGTCCTTTCATGAACATTTAAAAAAAAAGATGAGTGCTTATCCTCTGATGCAGTCAGGGCTTTTTGATGGAAAATAGGCTTTGTTATGATAAGAAAACCTGAAAGGGTACCTAGCCAACAGAGAAATGGGAGCCTAGAGAGAAGTGTCGTCTGGGTGTCACTGGCACCGATGTCTAGTCACCTCAGAACACAAACCCCCATAAACACCTTCCAAACCCTGATTCCCTAAGTCACCAAGCAGCTCTTAGGCTTGTGGTTTGCTTTGCTGAGAATAAATAGGGACCAAGCAAGTTTTCGAAGCATTGGTGGTTCGGTGGTAGAATTCTCGCCTTCCATGCGGGAGACCCTGGTTCGATTCCTGGACAATGCACCTCATGCACAGCCACTACCTTTCTCCTAGTGGAGGTCTATGTGTTGCTATGATGCTGAACAAGTTTCAGCAGAACTTCCAAACTACAACAAACTAGGAAGAAAGGCCTGGCACTCTACTTCCAAAAACCAGCCAATGAAAACCCTATGGATCACAATGATCCGATTCACAACTGATCATGGGGTCATGGCGCAGGACCAGGCAGCATTCATTTCATTGTGAGTGGGGTCGCCATGAGGCGGGGGCTGACTGGACAGCAGCTAACAACAACAAGAAGTGAGTTCTCAGCCACCTCAAGGTGTCTCTGAAAACTACATCTCACTACATTGTGGATTAGGAGTGACAATAATCCTGGGCTCTGCTCTCAGCTCAGCTCCGGCCTCCTGCTGGAGCCTAGGATAGGCTCAGCCTCAAGGCTGGCGATGTCCCATGCTATAAAGCAGCAGTTCTCAACCATGCTGTTTTAGCACCCCTGTGTGTCCTGATAGGCTTCTAAGGGGTTATGGGTTCCTTGCTACTAATAATAGTCCAAAGTTTGCCAGTGTTTCACTTTTAAAAAAATAAATTTAAGTGGATTCAGAGTTATCTCTATAATAACATCACTCAGCACTCAACTCTCTTGCATCCCGCCATGCTTTTTTGATAGGAAAAAAAAGAAGTGGCCTCACAGCTAGCGTGCCTGGAATTGGGCATGCTGTGGGAGGAGTGAGTATTGCATGTGAATGCTATGTAATACGTGTGTTGCGATGGAGGAAAGGGTGGAGAATTGCTGCTATAAAGTATACATACAGAATTGCTTAGCCTGCCTGCCGCCGGAACAACTGTGTTGAAAGTCCTCAGAGTCTTTGGACAAACCGTGGTGTATGAAGCTGCATCATCAGAGACCTGGGCTTGGATGGTAGGAGGAATGGGTGCTGGCCTTTCAATTCTGGATTTGACTCCAGCCCCACAGCCTCAGCCACCCTAGCCAATTGTCCTAGGAATTAGATTGGAAGAAGTGGAAGAGACCTCTTGCCTAAGAGGAGAAGACTGTGCAGCCATCCCACCGCTCATCACTAGGGATTTTCATGGCAGGAAATCGAGTAATGGAGTAATGAAGTCTCAGCCACCCCCTTGGCTTCTGGGTGGCTCTGAAAAACCTTATTCAGATCGAGGGGGCAAGAGAAGGGAGTGAGAGGTCTTGCTGCATGCTACTTTCAACCCATGTTCTGATGTCTCTCAAGGTTGTAGACTTATTTAATGTTGTTCTTTGAATGGCTCAACCCATGGCCAGGGACCATGGAATAGGGCCTAGTTACCTCAGCTGGTGGGTCACCAGTGAGGTCTTGGTTTGATCCCCACCAAGGCCAGTTCATTTGGCATTTGGGCCTAGTGAGAGCACAGGAGTTACCAGTGGGGTTACAGGGAGATGCACAGGCACAAGGCCATCCCTTCTCCTTAGTCATCAGTGCTAATCCCATGGTTTGCACGCACTTTTGCAGGAACCACCAGGGGGTGACCTGAAAGAGATTCAGGCAACCCTCTTGCTCAGCCTCCAGTAGCAGCCTGAAATGGGGTGGAGGAACGCAAGCATAACTGGCAACACAAGTGGGAAATATTGTCCACCCTGGAGGAAGCCAAACCCCATCTGGATATCATAAGACGAGGAATAAAGGGTCTTCACAGTGTCTATTTCGCCGGGCTGAGGAGAACAATCATATAACCTGCAGAGTATAATGGGTGCGGTGGAACTAGAATGAAACAAGTCATGCCAACTGGGTCATCGAACACTTTCAAATGTACCGAGAAGAATTGAAGGGAGGCCCAAGACAGAAAACAGTAGCAAATCTGGGAAAAGACTCCCAAGAGGAGGCTTGAGACTTATTTCTGGAATTTTCTGAGACTAGGAAAGTCTGACATCTGGGGATACCTATCAGAGGTCTCTTGGGTGGGAGAGCTACACAAACTCCCCTTAGGAGCCTGTCCGTGTTTCAGCAGTGGCACTGCCTTGCATCTGTCAGCATCTCCACTCTGGGCTCACAGTTTCACTCCCGTCAGGCTCCTGCAGGGACTGGGAAAAGGCCTCAGATTTGGATCCCATGGGTAAGACCTGGGAGTGTAGTGATGGTGATGGGCTTATCCTGTCCCTGCTTGGCTAGGCTCCATTCCGGCTATCACAATTATCTGTCTCTCCGGAGCAGAGGGAAAGAGTGCCAGAGCCAGATCCCTGTGATGTCCTGCCCTTTATGGGTAGCTGACTTCCACCACATGCCATTTATTAGGAGGCAGAGCGCAGGCAGCCCTGGGGGAAGCTGGCAGCTAGAGCACAGTGTCCTAGCTGTTCCCGGGGAAGGTCTGAGCATGATAGTTAGAGACCTGGGCAACTCGCTTTACCTCTCGGCACCCTAATTCTCCCACTTTACAAACGGGGTTTATAACAACTGCCCTGTAAAGGAGCTCTGATGGCAAAACGGTTAAGTGCTCAGCTGCTAACTGAAAGGTGGGCAGTTTGAACCCACCCAGCTGCTCCTCAGGAGAAAGACATGGCTATCTGCTCCTTTAAAAGGAGCCCTGGTAGCACAGTGGTTAAGCCCTCAGCTGCTAACTGAAAGGTTGATGATTTGAACCCACCAGCTGCTCCGTGGAAGAAAGAAGTGGCAGTCTACTTGCATAAAGATTACAGCCTTGGAAACCCTATGGGGCAGTTCTACTCTGTCACATTGGGTCTCTATGAGTTGGAATCGACTCCATGACAATGGGTTTTTTTTTTTTTTATCTGCTCTTACAAAGATTACAGCCTAGAAAACCCTATAGGTCAGTTGTACTCTGTTACGTGGGGGTCACTATGAGTTGGAATTGGCTCGACAGCACCCAACAACAAGAAGGCTATTGTGAGAATAAAATGAAATCTGACTGGGAGCACTCAGAAATGACATCCTTGCATCTATTTATTCTGAGAACAGACTTTGATGCCAGTTGCAAAGGAGTGGGCCATGGGAGGGCCTAGGAGCCCTCTGAAGCCGGTTGGGTGGGGGCTGTATATTTTAGAGCAGGGAGGAAGTTAGAGAAATAAAATGACAGCAGCTTGAGAAGGAGGAGAAGCAAGTGACCTTGTCATTCTAACAGACAATGTCTCTTGGAGATAAAAATAATAACGGGATACTGACATTTTTATGCTGTTATTTTCTTCTTGGGATTTGTTTTTCTCCTTTCTTTTGGAGCCCAGAGAAGC